GTACCAAAATTCCAGCCGCCACCAGCTGTACTTTCTACCTCTTCCAGCCAGTCCATTAATTGGGAGTCCCGTAACCAACAATCCCGGAACTTTTGCGTATATTGCGGTTTTGGCATTTTGTTTTAAAAATAAACTAAACATTTGCAAACAAACAAGGTTATGGGAATGTTCTATCTTATAATAAATCACAACCCATATTTAACTTTGTTAATTGGTTTATTCTTCACAAAACAAGAGTAATTAATTTATATTCTTATAGAAAAGCTCATGGAAAAAAGTACATATCTCACTTGTCTAAAGTCTGTCTTGAGTGACGTTCGTTTTCTTTTTCTTCTTAACGAGTAACGACCGGTATTTATGTTACCACATACATCAAAATATTAAAGAAAATACTACACAAACGCTACACCGTCGCTCCGATGCATAGCATAACCAAAACTACTAAGTATCTGTGTTATGTATTTCTATTTTTGTGCATGCATACGAAACGAACACATACAAATCTCATTAATTCAAATCAAATTTGACCCATTAGTCATAGGAATAAAGTCCATAATCAAAATAATTTAAGAAATTGATAAACTTGTTTCGGGAAATTCCCGAAAATAACGAACGTAATTTTACACAGTTGCCTACATAATGACAAAATATTCCTTTATAAGTTAAACGTTTTCGTCTTTTCCTGTAAAGATATCAATCGTGCTAGTGGTTAAATGTCGTAGCATACCACTGAATGAAACAAACTAAACCACTAGAAAAATCCACTAGCCACTAAAACCAAAATTCGCCCGCTAAAACGTATATCTACACCACCAGATCTAGTGGAATATCCACTAAGATGGCAACACTGGTCAACTCTCGCGTCAGTCTTCGGACAGGCAGCTCAGTTCAGTGCGCGTCTTCGAGCAGTGCAGTCATTGCACTTGCAGTCTCTGTGTCATTAATTGTGAGGTGTATTTGTGATTATAACCATATTTTATAAGGTAAGTTTTAATTATATTATATTTTAAGTGGGAGACACGAGAATTTTTATAAGTCTATAATTCATTTTCAAAATCTTATGGCGGGAAAAATGTTGTTAAATTTAAAAAACAGGTTGCTGCTAGTTTCTGCCAATTTTTTTTATTAAATTGTGCGGTTTCCGGGTCAGGACGTTGCTCATGCTCATGTACAAGTCAAGATTGTTGTGCTATTTTGCTAAATTAATTGCTTACCCAATTGAAAAGAATGAAGGATAGAAATCGCTAAAATCTCTTAAAGGCCGCGCTGAAACACTAAGAACAACCGGAGCTAGCACAAAACACTATTAACAAATAAATATTGCGTGCTTAGAAATTACACATGTCCGAAGTGAAACTTCTTTGCAAAACTAATTTTTAACTCTTGTATATTTATACAAATCTAAAACTTTACATTCCCAAGACTTAGAGGGAGGGAAAAATTAAGATATGTTAGGAATTTCATGTGTAGAAAATTAATACAATTTATAAATTTATTTCTTCGATAGTAAAAACACGTGGCATTTAAATATACAATTCGTCATTTGAGATTTCAATAAATTATTTTGCATAAAATATAAAATACTAATACTTCATCATTTCTCTTAACGAAATTTTAATTTTAAAAATATAATTTCTATAAGGTTCGCCTTTATCACTCTCTCTCAATCGCTCACTCCCTTTTCTTCGACAAAATTGTTCTAAAAGTCTAACAACATTGTTAATACTTTCGACTCGTTTGCAACCATAAATATTTTAAAAGTGAAACTACCTACTATTTAAAATATAATCAATAATCATAACAAAGTCTTACAAATTGATAAAACGTTGTTAACAATTGTTATATTATAGTAGGCGCTTTTTGTCCTCCATATCGCGTAGACGCCATCTAGAGGTGAGAAGGCAAAACAATATCTTTAACAATATAGAACATGTATTTTAAAAGTTTAGTTTATATTTAAAAACTAGGCTTTCCGTAGGAAGAAAATGTATAAAAGTTTTAATATTGATCACAATATTTCTCACTTATTTCCTTAAATATTACTTTTAATGAAATATTGAAAAATGCGCCCTCTGTCGTCGAGTAACTTCTGTGATAGAACTATACTTTCCATTACTTCTTGTTCGCTGGAAGGAAATATTTAAGTTATGCAATATCTTGCCTTTAAATACAAATAATCATTAAAATAAACGTGTAGCGTGCCATTGGATTAATGTTCTATATATCCAGGTCTATTCACTCGTTTCTTTTTCGCTACTGAAGTATAGGGGTCGTGGTTACAAGGACACGGTTAAAATTTAATTTGTTTTTGTGCGTTTACGCCATCTATTGGTAAATACAAATGAAATGTGAAGTAACTGAAAAAGCTGAATATTTGTTTAACACAAAAGAAAGAAAAAGAGAAAAAAGAATAAACCAAAGGCATGAAGTTTCCTGTCTGCTTAAAGAGTTTAAAGGTTTTAGACGTCGGAGTTAAAGATGTAGGGAATAAAAATAATTTGTAAGATATCGCAAAGAATGTGCAATATTCTTTAAGCTAATTCAAATCAATAAGAATACATGTTAGCGATGTCAATTAACATTTTTTTAACAGATTAATATTCTGAACTAGTGCTATGCATTTGTGCATAACGATCTGTTATAATAAATGCATATAAAGTGTTAACCAAATCGTTTAATACTGTTTCGCTCTTGAAGTATAGGGGGCGTAATTACAAGGATTCAGTTATAATTTTATTTTTTACTTGAATCTGAGAGTTTACTTTAGGAAACTATTCACTCACGTGCAATCAGCATTTGTTGTCAGTTATTAAGAGCATCAAGTCAACTATTAAATTATTATTATTAGCAAATAGATATGTGACTATAGAAAAAAAGTTACTAGAACCTAGTAACTGTTTTTAACTAGCCTACGTAACAAAAAGAAATAATTATATAAGGACAGAACTTTAACACGAAATAATGGATTTATAACTATGAATAAATATAAGACTAAAGGCTCTAGATTCTGAAGAAAAAAATAAACTTTGGAAATTAATTTGAAAGTATACAAATAGGTTTTCAGCTGTTGTTTTAAGCTTCAAGAGTTTTTTTTACCTTATTATCCACAAGCACAACAGCCTAAATACCTATACAAATATATATAAAAGAAAAATTTTACAAGCCCATATGTTGTAATTAGTAATAAGCTCCAGTTCAAAAGTTGATTTATACTATAAGGTTCTACTTCAAAGAATTGAATATCTACAGATGCTTAGTATAGTGACTGTTGTATTTTAAACTAAAATAAATAGTAAATAAATATTTATTGACTTTACAAATTAGCAGTTTAAAATTATCTTAGTATTAACATTTTATACACGCTGGCAATGTATCTGCTATGTGCCTTCTTGTTAATCTCCACATATCTGAAATAAGAGAAATATTATTAATATTGGTTATATTACCATATCATAAATAGGAGAGGTTTCTTAGTATTAATTTTTACTTATTTCATGACACTTTATTAGCGAGTTAGTGACACAAGAGTTTCACACAATTAATGTGGGAAAAGTTTACATAACAGTTAACTAAGTAATGATTTTATATAACTTACTAAATTAATATATATACATTTAACTAAAATTATAAATAAGTGTACAAACAACAATTTAAATACAGTGTTATCTCTTTATAATGTCATTTGTTATAACGATAAACTCTCTACATTGTAAAAATGAGTTAAATTTATTTGGTTTAACCCAATACCCACACATGAATTCTTCCCTCCCTATAACGGAACCTCTCTATAACGAATAAAAATGCTTGGTCCCTTGAAATTCGTATAAAGAGGTTACACTGTATTGCAAACAAGACTTGTCTTTTTGACTATGTATTAGACTTATGTATCTACCTGTTGAGGTTTATCCAAACCGATGGGAGTTAAGGTCCTTATTCCTAAACCTTAGCAGGCAACGCACTTTTAAGCTTGTTGGCATTGTGATTGTCCATGGCCAGTGGTATTACTATACAACAGGCAAATTAAATATAAAAGTCCATGAAATCAAAAGAATACATAATTATATTTCCACATGATACTTTAGATCTAGATTTTGTTATGTTGACACAGGTAAAGGAATGTCAAGTTAATGTTTTAGTGTGGAATCTGGGTATAGCCAAATGGATATGGTGATTTTAATGAGCACTTACCAGTAATTTTGAAGTTTTAATCCTTTTACATATAAAGTTTTCTAGTATTTTCAGTGGCAAGTCTTATGACATTGAACAACATCGGCCAAGTGAATATTTCAACAATATCTGAAATGTTAAATATTATGAATAAGATATGACTGTAATTAATAGGTGTTACAATGTTTCACTACAAGCAACAACATAACGAAATATTAATTGTTAAGTAAAAATCAATGTAGTGCAACGGTGGGTTAAAATTTTGCCTGCAATATAAAATGATTTTTAATGAATTTCATTAAAGGTTAGTAAAAAAACTATGAACATTTATAATTGTTCTGTGGCATCTGTTTTCGGAACTCTACTTATTTCAGGTACAACCCAAGATAAAGTTGCAATAAAAAAGTAGATCTGCTGTATTGAAAAAGAGATAATCTTACCTCAACGCGATGTTAACTCTATTTTCTATTTCATCTGATTTGCATTGATCTTGCAAGTTTTAAAAGTTACATTGTCAATGCACTTCTAAAACCCTCAAATTCCGAAATAAAATTATTTAAGTTTAATAATCTGTCTTATTACACACTAATTTAATTTACAGTATATTTAGTAGGACAAGTTTACTAGCTTAAATTAGTGTAATTTAAAATTATCTTGTTTTCAATTAAGTTTCTTTATCAAATTTTTTTTTACAGGTAGCGTTTATCAAAGCAAGAGCAAATCAAAGCAAACCTATAATAAATACAGGATATCCAGAGCCTAATGAAGTCTTTAATGGTACTATATCCACTTCCCTTAACAATAATGCAGTTTTTAACCAGCCATCAGAAAAAATGTATAATACATTCTGTAGACAAAGCCGTTCTATTGCTAACATAAATTTTTCACACTATATTCCCCAGAACACACATAATAGCAATACTTTGGGTGTGCTAAGTGTCTGTCCAAATGCAATAAATTGGAATGAATCTTCTAACAACCCAGAGTGTTACTTAAATGCTAACCATAGCAATTTGCAACCTCATCAGGTTCATGCACATTTACCAACACCTATATCATCTAAAACAAAAAAAGAAGAATTCTTTACATTGCAAACTGAAAGTAAAGTTACAGTGCCAAAACAATGTGATATGAATGATCAAATGAATTTTCAAAACAATTCCAATAATATTACTTCAGGGGGTCTAGCCAAGATGGCTTAACAGGGGCCTTAGTCAAGATGACTTAACAGTAGTGTATGTAGAAAGTCGAAAAGTAAATTTGTATGGAAATGACAGTTCGTGTCGAAAAGTTTTCATACAAATTTAGTTTTTGACTTTCTACATACACTACTGTTAAGTCATCTTGACTAGTGTATGTAGAAAGTCGAAAACTAAATTTGTATGGAAATGACAGTTCGTGTCGAAAAGTTTTCATACAAATTTAGTTTTTGACGTTCTACATACACTACTGTTAAGGCATCTTGACTAAGGCCCCTGGTCATGTAACTGGTTAGTACACTTACACTTAAATATAATATAAAAAGGTCTTTAAACACCTGCCCACTGAATAAAAATTTATAATCTTTATTTATCATTAGATACCTATATTATACCCATATTTCAATTACTACTGAACTAAGAAGGATTATCTCTTAATGACTTTCTAGGAAAGTTGTAGACAAACATAATATAAACATAAATGCACTTATGTAATAAAACACACGTTCTTTATTCATTATTAGATACTTATACTATACCCATATTTCAAGTACTTCTCAAGCGAGAAGGATCATTTCTTAATCAAGAAATTTCCTAGAAACTAAGTCATAGTTTCTAGAAAATTTCTGGACAAACATATAAATGTACATGCACTTATGAAATTAAGCTGATGTGCATTGGAAGCATAAATAGATTATCATACTCATATTATCCAATTGCAATATCACATAACTTAAACCTTCTTTTTGAAGTAGGTTAAAAGTAGTATTAATTGGTGAGCATAATGTTTGAAATATAATTTTCAGCATCACTTGAAGGTGATCATGATATGAAAATAAGCAAAGACGTTGTTGAAGATGACTTACATGACATGCTGGTATGAAATACATCTCTTGCCTTTATTTGGTTTCATTGAAGATCTCTGTTGCTTCTACCAGTTTTAGTAGTTAAACAATTTTATAGATATGTACATATTATTATAATTTTTGTTGATTGTGTATTTGTTTAAGTGTTAACTAAATATTATATTTATTGTTGCAATTTTTTGTTAACATTATCTGAAGTTAGGTTAATAAGGTAATAATGTTGCTTGTGCTTAATTAGGGTGGCTTTAATCTTAATGTTTTTCTTATATATTTTAAGAAATTGCATAATATCATCTCCTGTGGGCTTTTGTAACAAAAAGTCAAATTTGGTTTTGGTTAGAATTCAGTAGAGGTTAAATCTGATCAGAAAGTAGTATAAAATTATTCCTTTTAAAATTATTATCATTATTGCAGGATTTTTCAATTTATCTTTGTGTGTGACCTTAACTTGAACATTTTTTTTTTCAGGAAACTAATAATTTTAATATCACAGCTTTGCAAACATTGTTTAAGATTGACAAAATAACCAAAGTTTGGTTTCTTGTGCTTGATGAGGATGTGTTTTTAAAGAAATTAAACTTTATAAAGGAAATTCGAAATGCAGGTATAAAAATATTAGTCTAAAAACTCTAACAAGTGAATGTTACAATAGATATAATAATCAGCATGAAATTAGGTACTTCTAGTATAATTGTACCTACTAGAAAAGCCATACCGTCTAGGATTTAGAACCTAGAAGTGCCTTTAATGGAAAAATAGAAAATGTAATACAAAATAAATACAAATTATATTAAATGTGTAGACAGTAAAAATATGGCTACAACAAGGACATAACTAAGTAGTACTTTGAAAGTCTTAATATATATATAAATTACGTGTCACGTTGTTTGTCCGCTATGGACTCCTAAACTACTGAACCGATTTCAATCAAATTTGCACACCGTGTGCGGTTTGATCCAACTTACAAGATAGGATAGCTTATATCTCAATTTATACCTGCAATATTATTTTATTGCAAATTATTTGTTTATTATTTGATAGTCACAATTCTAACAGATGGCGCTGTGTTGAAAGTACCAACGTTTCACATAAGCTACAATTTAATGACATAACCACCAAAAAAAGCATGGTGGTCCCCATGACTGGTGATCTCCTACCGTTTCCCTTGAATAGTTTACTACTATGTAATATAACAAAAACCTTAGCCACAGCAACGCTTGGCCGGTCTGCTAGTATCTTATATGATTTAGTTCTATTTACATATATAAATTATAAAAAATAAATCAGTGGCGCGACAACCTCTTTAGGTCTTGGCCTCAGATTTCTGAACCTGTTTCATGATCATTTTTTAAATCTAATAGGAAAGTAGGTGATCAGCCTCCAGTGCCTGACACACGCCGTCGACTTTTTGGGTCTAAGACATGTCGATTTCCTCACGATGTTTTCCTTCACCGTTCGAGTAAATGTTAAATGCGCACATAAAAAGAAAGTCCATTGGTGCACAACCGAGGATCGAACCTAAGACCTCAGGTATGAGAGTCGCACGCTGAAGCCACTAGGCCAACACTGCTCATATATAAATTATACCTCATTATATATTTATATTATAAAGATTTAAAGTTCGCGAGGCTGTACAGGGATTACCTCTGTATCTACTGAATCGATTTTGAAAACAAATTTTCCTATAGAATGTCACATTATTTGTGAGTGTTAAAAATCCCTGAAAACAAAAAACTTGCAAAGTAAGTCCAGGGCCGGATTTAAAGGTCTGGAGTTCTCGGAGCAACAAAGGCTCCCTGGCTCCAAATTATTTTCCAAATAAAATTTCAGTCGAGTTTTTCAATCAATAATTTATTGTAAAACCAAGATTCCTTTAGTAATTAACAAACATAAATCTTTGTACTGGGCACAAATTCTATTTATGGGGGCGTTACGAGAAAAGTTATTTGTATTAATCGTGAAAAGATTTAGTACGTCTTGAAATCTCCTCAGAATATCCTCATGTATGTGTAACATCAGCTGCCCTTTTGATTATGCCACTTGCCGCGATATCTTCCATGCCTAAAAGGGACCAAATTAAATAGCTTTATAGATTCATATCATTATATATAATTACAGACAATAGGTGTCGTTTGGTCGTCCCGGAATGTGTTTTGAATCGTATTCAAAAGGGAACAACATCTGTTAACAAGATACATATGAAGAGAGCATTACAAGCAGCCATATTTATTTCTAATGTCTTAACGGAAAACTGTGCCATTGTTGGTAAGTGATTTTATTAATTACCCCCGCGAACTTTGTTTCGCCTTAATATGATTTTATTACTATGGCTACCTTTTTATAAGCTAAATAACAACATAAGGAACACTTTGATATCCCATACACACTGTTCGCTTTTCCGGAATAAAATCCAATTTTTCTCTACATAAAAACCTTCCTCAAAGTTGATAAAAAATAAATTTAAGAATAAATAAAAAAGAAAATACTCTAGCCGTCTTTGACTTTTGTGCTTAGCAACATATTTTGCGATTCATTTTTTTTATATCGATTTTACGGTAAAAAAGTCTGATCTTGTCTGGTTGAATTGAGTACAGCATATCGTGTACAATGTACTGTACATGCTAATACACTTTTCCTACATGGACTCACTTTAACAGCACTACGCGCTATAACTGGGGTTACCACCTTTTTTTGCAATAAAGAATAAAGAAATCACATGCGAAATAAAGTATTTTCGTGTACTTTATTGTTCTCATATAGTATAGAGTACAATAACTTGAAATAACGTACAATACTTTATTATAAAGCACGAATGGCAACCCTAGCTATAGCCTATACCACACTTTCACTAATAAGAAAACTTGGGTTCACCTTTGCATTCTAACAAGAGGACCTGCGACTAATTATCTTAGCAATTCTAACATTATTCTGTTTTCTCCCGAGGGTTTAGGGATCTATACGTTACAGAAACGTTATACATTTTTTAAATTTTTTAATTTATAAACACGTTGCTACACTCAAAGATATGCTCTTAAATATATATAATTATATTATTACAATAATATTTATAGAAAAAATTTAACTATCTAATCTTATATACAAATTTTGTTTCAGATAAAGAAAATCGTCATGATGATCATACACAAAATATCGTTGCATGTTATAGAAAATACAGCCAAAAGGACTACAAAGTTGTAAGTTTATTAAATTTTGTTGTGGTTCCGAGAAGGAAAATGATTTTAAATATTTTAACTGTTTTACTTTGTTCTTTCTTAGGTTTTGTTAACAGAAAATAATATCAATCAAAATATAAACGTAACAAGTCCCATATTTCGGATGGAAGAAGTTGAATATTTCATGATATATGGGGAATTAAAGGAGACGTCACCTCGAAAAGTATTTAACTCAACAATTAAGGTCACAATTCCAAATAATCCAAGAAAGAGTTTCTCCAGTAAAACTAAAGTAGGGATAAGAGATCCACAAATCAAAAGATATATAGAACAAGAAGAGCATAATGTATCTGATTCAAAATCAATACAGAGAGAAGAGTCAGAAATGAAAGATGTTGAGAAAAACGTTATGTTTGAAGTTACAAGTGAACTGATGAAAGGGAACCTAGTATCCAAGTCAGAAGAGTGGATTTCGCGATTCACACAAATACTGGAAGAAGCTCTTAATCAGGTTCTACAAGAGGCAGCTTTTCAGACAACACCTCCACCTTGGACGATGTATGAGGCTTGTGAGTGTATTAAACGGGGATTTAAAAATGACGCTGATATTGTTGATGCGGCAAATAAGTTGGGGGATATTATATTTGATAATGGAGCTTTGAGAGGTGAGATTTTCTTCCAGCATTTATTTGCATAAAAAGTTAGAGTCACGGATTCACTTGGTCCTAAACAGCTTGGATCATCGTATCTTTACCTCAATTAGTTAAATAATATGTTGTTTTTTGTTTTATTAGAATGTTAAATGAAAACGTAAATTTACACTAATATTTTATTACTTTCAACGTTTTTCTAAAGAAATTTGTTATTTATGTTGAACCGTTGTTACAGGTAAAATTAACCACAACATAAATCCATCTACATTTATGAAAATCTATAGTTACGGCGTTTACCTCGTTGATACGTTACAGGTAAAATATTTATATTCTCTTACACTTTTGTGTAACTAACAATATTCACCATATATTTCATTTATTTCTCACTGCCCTCATCACTCGCGTGAATTTCGTGTGATTTGGCTTTATACCTTTATATTACAGTATTTACAGCAATAGAGTAGTTTTTGAGTATAACATCGTAAAGATAGTCTTTAATTTAGTAGTGATTACTTATATACTATAATAAACTGTTTTGCAATAAAACGGGCACCTAAGGAAGTTTATTTCGATTCGATTTCAGTTAATTGAAATTTAATTCGCGGACTGGCTGTCAATTGTGGTAATTCGTTTATTAATTTTTGGTTATTTTTTAAAAATTTATCCACACGGCTAAACATGCTCTTTTGGAATGTTTTTTTATAAGTAATTACTACTTAATATTGGGCATATAATAAATGACCGCGCGCGCGGATTTAAATTACGAATTGTAATTTAAATTCAATTGAAATCTGTAAACTCTTTAAGTGTCAATTCCTGAGGAATACCTGGTTTTGGTCATTTACTTCATTATCTTGAAATTAGCCTAAAATTCCTACTGAAAATATATTTTTTTACTAAAATAAGCATTTTGGCGTTTATTCTCTCAATCAATGGTCGTGCGTCCCGAGAGTCACATTTGTTTTTTAACATGGTAAGGATACCGGCATGTCATAGATTTAAAAAAATGGACGATAAAAAAAAATATGTCTATTATGGACCATAAGATACATGTATCACTTATTCCACGTCATTAAATTTGAATTTGTAGGCATCCCTACTCATCGGCAAAGAAGATAATATGAGACACAAAAGATTGATTGACGTGCCATTGAGTTATCACTTTACATTCTTTAAACTTAATATAACGCAATTATATTTTAGGACGTTTTCGAAGATGACGAAAATCTACAGGCAGCTGAGAAATTATTAGCCAAGTTACTACTCGATATTGAGACGCCGGATTTCAATAACTCGTTTAATGAAATCGATGCAATAAATGAGCATAGCGATGAAGGTATATTTGTAAAAGTGACATTTTTAGTTTAAAAATATAAGGATTTTGTGTAATAAAAAGAAGGCTTTTAATTATATTTATTCTGCGCGGTACATAACATATTTCAACATTAAATTTCAGTAAATATCGTAGCCTGTTACTCTGGCGTAATGTAGCATTAAAATTGTGAAAGAATTTTGAAACCGTTTTCGCATTTATTTGTTACAACTACAAATCTTTTCTCTTTTTAATATTAGTAAGTGTAGATTTACATAATTCGGCGTTTTAAACATACGTCGTCGATACGTAATAAATTCAATTTAGTTTGTTTTTCAGCTTCGCCACAAAAAACATCCCAAAATCATCCGACATCATCCAGAATCACCCGTTCAATGGCTAGAAATATTATGACATCAGTAAGTATTAAGTAGCATTATTTATGCAAAATTACTTTTCTATTTTTTTATTTTTATGAGATATTAAACTTTTGGAACAAATGACATCAAACATGGACAATCAAAATTTTAATGATTGGCCCAAGTTATGTTATATATTTGTTAAACTTATACATGTAAATTTTCAACAATATTTTAGGTCCAGGAACGAGCCCATCACTCTAAAGATAAACTTCTTCAGTTTTTGCCGGGAAAAGAAAACTTTTTATCAAATTTTGAACTTAAAAATGCGGACAAGGATGAAACTAATGAACCAGAAAATATAGATAAAACAGATTGTGTTAATACTAAAACAGATGAACCACCGAAAATTATAAGAAACTTTATAAGAATCTCTAATATTGAAGATAAATTGGATCCAAATGGATCTGTTGATCTAGATAATCTAGATTTTATTTTAGATGGTGCTGAAGTGCCAGAAAAGAAAACTTACACTCATATTGATTTCATAGAACAAACTAAGGCTAAATTACGCTACGTTTTTAAATTTTGGTAAGTTTACTCATTATTGATAAGTATCTATTGAATTTTTGCCCTTGGTTTGTAGCATATAAATAAATAAAGACTATTTAAAAGTAAATATTAATAGTATGTGAATAATTTAAAACCCAATTGTATTTGTTTTTCTTTACCAACCAGTTTTATGGTCAGGTTGTCTACTGACATAGTTTTACCCATTATTTTCTATACCGGGCTAGCCTGCTCCTACTCTTCGGCAGATCATCTGCACATCTTTTTCCACTTCCTTTTTCATTCACTTGGATGTATTAGAAAATACATCTTTTGTAAATCTATCTTTATCGTTTTATAGCCAAGATACAAGACAAAGGCTGTTAAATCCAGAAAAACTCGATAAAAAGGATGTAAATTGTCAAGCCAAAAAATTTGCAGAACTTATACGTTTTTGCCGTCTTCAATTAGCAGGGTAGGTATGCTTACGTTTATAAGTTGTTGATTTTACGTTACCACACGTGTATATTTATTAAAATGATTTTTGATTTAAAATAATAATTCATGCAGCAAATAGCAGATTGGCCAATTTAAAATTTAAAGCGTTTTATACGCATAAATATATAATATAAAATATATAATTATAAATAAATAAAAAAAAAACATGTTTTCGAAGAATTGTCTTCTTTCTTTAGTATCAAAATACTTTACAGTGATCAGCCTTCTCTGACACAATATTCTATTTTAGACATATTGCTTTCGTGTTTCCTTCTATACTTCTACACTACACATTACTACATCCTTCTGCAAAGCCTTCAAACGCACGACTTAACAGTTTGATCCAAGTCCAAGGACTTGAGACTCTTAATGAGATATTATTATTATTAATAATAAACGAATATATAATAAATTGTTCTAGGATATACGAAAGAAGAAAAGATATTTATTTAAATGTTCTTAACTTTAATGAGGCTGAATATAATTATAATAAGTAAGTATTTATCAACATTATTTTTCTCTTTTATGAAATATTAATAGTTTTAAGAAATATTTATAAAACTTAAACCAATAAAAAATGGCTTCGAGGCTCTTAAATATTGTTTTCAGTTCAATTCATCAATTTTGATTTTGACAGAAAAGCAGAAGTTAAGTTAAATTTGTAGAGCTTCGCTTAAAATAATACCATTATAACAAACACACATACATATTTAAATTATACCTGGACTTATACCATATTATTATTTTGTTTAATCTATGGATTTTTTTCAGGGAATTTGTTAAGCACTGTTTGGATGAATGCGCAATTCTTAATACGGCCCTATCGATTATAATAACAGAAACAGGCTCAACTCTCCAATAGAAACGGGATTAGGGGTATTTGAAGGGGGAAGAGGAAAAGCGTACCTGACACCTCAAATGGTACACACAATGGAGCCCTTCCGAAGATGTTTTTTTTTTTAGTTTTTTCTGTAAAAAGTGTTATAAAAAGGCATAAATAGCAGTCACATCGAAAGAGCTAAAATTCATCTCTCCTATCTCATATGATCACTGGCCAAAAAATTTTTTTTTTAAAATTATGTTATCTTCCTACCAAAACATTTCGTGTGATTCCATCAACCATCTAAACAAACAAAAATTTTTTTGATACATTTTTTAGTTACGAGTAAAGTTATGTTTTGATTACCTTTTATAGAGTATTGATTATTTTAATTCCTTAATCCCGTGTCCTCTATTTCTTGTTTCATACTTTAAAATGTGAAATGTTTATATACCAAGCTAGTTCATACTCAGAAAAAAAAATATTCTATTTACAAATATATAATAGGGATTAGTTACTTGAAGACTAAGTTTTATGAGGCCGTAATTTAATAGAAAATATAAATAATATGAATGAATCCAGTGGCCAGGGTCGGATTTAGAGGAAACAGACTACAGACCGGGGCCTTCACTTCAGAAAAAAAATGTTTTAAATTTCAAGTAGCAATCAACTTTTCTTTTGATATATTTTTATGTTTCTTAAATACTAAAAGAATCTATTCACAATTAATTATTGATTGAAAAACTCGACTGAAAAAAATATGTTAATTTTATTCGTAAAATAATTTGGGGCTATCCAGACCACTAAATCCGGCCCTGCCAGTGGCGCTACAAGTTACAACCCTATATCAGTCTTGGCTTGCATCAGTTTCTTTGCTAATTTATATTTCATAGACTAGTAGGTGATTAGCCATCTGTCCGGCACATGTCGAGTTTTGTATGTTTTCTTTCACCGTACGAGCAAGTCTTAGATGCGCATGTAGAAAGTCTATTGGTGCAAGCCGGGGTCGACCTATGACCTCAAGGATGAGAGTCACACGCTCAAGCCACCTAGACCAACACTGCTGTCCATATGAATAAATCTTAACTAATTATTTATGATTATAATCATATTTTTATTTAGATTGGTGAATGTTGAAAATTATTTTATCAACGCTTTTCTTAGAAACGAGTAACATTTTTTTAAAATATATTCGTCAAATATATTAGGCTGTATACGATGTTACCGCTTAGCCAACGTTTTTAATCTTTATTTTTTTTTAATATTATGGCAATAGTTTTGACTTAATCTTTATTGGAAATATTGCTACAGTGACAACCAACTTAGTAACTTTGACGAGATGTTTCATGTCGCCATAGATGACGTAGACGCTTGAATCTTGACGAATGACGATGAGTATCGTTCGATATTGAGATTTGAGAGAAAATTCAAAATATTGCAAAAAATGCAATCGAAGTTCCCATATTAATCATTCATTTAATATTTTATTTGTAAACGTAACATAGAATTCACGCTTGTACATATTCCAAGGAAATCACAATGTCTGGCTTTCAAAATACAAACGACTATTCTTGGCAACCTCCTGAAAATAGTCAAAATTATTCTTTCAATAATTCAAATTCTTTTGGCGATGCATCTCAGAATCTAGGTAAAACATCCTTCATAATAATAATAAATGATTCGTCTTAATTAACATCATTAATTGAGAAAATTATAACATATTTTTGTAGATTTTCAGACATTTGCTCCAGAACATCAAAACTTTTCTTATGATCAGGGCCAGAATAATCCACCTAATAATAATCAATATTACAACCCAAGCTTATTTTCGCCTGCCCCAATACCAGGAGAAGCTGTTACAGCAACTTCAGAATTTGACGAGCCACCACTGCTTGATGAGTTGGAAATATATCCAGACAGAATCCTTGAAAAAACACTGGCTGTTCTAAATCCATTTCATGGACAATCTAAGGCAGATGATGCAAACTTTCTGTTGCGAGATACAGATATAGCGGGACCAATTGCATTCTGCTTAGCGCTGGCAGTCTGTCTATTCCTTGCTGGTAATAAGGCACATTTTGGTTATGTATATGGATTGTCAATGATGTCAGTAATATTAATGTACTTTTTGTTGTCCCTTATGAGTCGCTCTGAAGGAGTGTTTACTATTTTATGTGTTGCCAGTGTTCTAGGATACTGTATGTTACCAATGGTTGCTTTAGCAGGGCTAGGAATTTTCATTTCTCTAGAGGGAGGAATAGGTTTATCATTATCAGCTATAGCTGTTATATGGTCAGCATTATCAGCAAGCAGATTGTTTGTTACCATGTCAGGAGATTCAGAACAAAGACCTCTAATTGCATATCCTTGTGCATTAGTAAATGGAGTGTTTGCCTTACTAGTTTTGTTTTAAACATTTTAATTTGTTGGGAGGACATCAAGTTCAATTTTGTACATGTAATAAAATATTTTTCATATATTACACTATATAATATATAAGAAATATAATAAAATTATTAAGCATGTATTAAAAATAAACTTGATGTTAAGGCAATTAAGATTATTCAAAAGTTTTTATACAAATGTATTTTATTAATTGAAATAATAAACATAATATATAAATGTTGTTTGATTTCAGTTACAGTTAGTACACAAAGTATACAATTATATCAGCTAAAAGTTAAAGGATTTTTCAAAACAATGCACAACAACCATAGTTTTAAAATTTTAATGAAAACAATTTAAATTGCGCTTTCTATAACAAAACATGAATAACATTGCAGTATGTTTGTGACATATTACAATAACATAAAATTATTTAAATCAAGTTCATTGGTTTTAAAAATAAAACTATTGTACACATAATTACCACATGAAATATATTAAATATCCTATTAAACTAATAATTATTTATATAGTGATGGTCGATCACTAAAGAAGTTTTTCAAGATCATAACTTGTGCAAATGTTACACAGAAAATTGCAAGTGTTTCTCCAATGGACCACCAAAATACTCTTTCATTTAAGTCCTCTGCTCTTTTACGACCCTGAGCTTCCCTTAATCGATGGTGGGTTTGATGATCAATAAAGGTCATAGCTCATTAGAGCCACCCGGCACCCGACCAGCGCCGCCTCGCCTCGAGAGGTTAGTATTCTTTGTATGGACTTCTATGAATAAGCGCTCATTACATCAACGCCGTGTCGGCACAGGATCGCTTCGCTCGCAATCTGGCCACGCGCGGACGGCGGGTGTACCACTCGGTGACGACTCGCTGATCGTACGCTAGCCTTGCATGGACCGCGCGCTGCCGGCGAATGAACCACGCGAGGACGACGCGTTGGTCCAATACTCGCCCTCTTTTTTTCTTTGTTTAAACATTTCGTGCACCCAATAAGCTTTCTTTTTTTGTTGCGTCTTTCATTTTCTTCTTCAATAAGCGCGACAGCTATGACTGCCAATTCACAGTTTGTAAAATTTGACATTACGAAAAACACATGTAGACCTAGTGGCAATGCTAACAGACTACTCGAAAATTCGTGGCCCAAGCGATGTCCACTCGTTGACCACTCGACGTTCACTCGTTGGCCACGCGAGGTTCATTGGTTGATCTCGCGACGTTCACAAGTATCAACGCGTCGTTCACCCGTGGACAACGAGTGGACACCTAACGACGAGGCGGCGCTGGTCGGGTGCCGGGTGGCTCTAATGAGCTATGACCTTTATTCTATTTAGAGCTGAATGGATTTCTTCTGCTGATGTCTTAAGCTAAAAGAGTGACACAATTATATTAGTTCAGATTTTAAAAATGTATCATATTTAAAAATCCATAACTAAATATCTAATGAATAAATAAATATATTTTATGCATTGAAGTGAGAGGACTAATTAATCATTCAATTTAGTATATACGTAGTCGGTCCCAAAGTTCTGTCATAAATGGAAATAATGATAAAAACAAAAGTACTGATCAGTTTGTAATGAGTGATATATCAATTCTTAGTAAATTAATTAAGGAATAAAAAAGCATAAAAATATTCGAAATAACCTCCCTCATTTTTAATACAGGCCCTTAAGCGTCGCGGCCAGTCGTCTATCGCAGCACGCACCATATTCGTGTCCATTTCAGTCACTGGTTTTTTAAAGATGACTTCAGATTCTCCAAATTTTCATGAGGTTTATCACAGACCTTCCTCTCTAAGCCCTGTCATAATTTCTGGTCCAAAGGATTAAGGTCCGGACTGGAGGAAGGCCAATCCTCATGTCTAATTAAGACGATGTATTGACGCTCAAACCAGGCTTTAGTGGTCTTGGCTTTGTATGCAGACGCAGAGTCCTGCTGGAACACGAAGTGATGTCCCGCAAATAGGGTGCTGGACATGTCTTTGACAAGGCGATACAAAACCGTCTCTTGGTACACTGTAGCACTGGTTTTGACCCCCTTTTCGAAAAAATTAACCTCAGTTAGCCCGTAATAGGACACTCCCAACCAAACCATTACTGATGATGGATGATGTCCATGTTGCACCCTTGGAACTTTATTTTCAGCTTCTTCAGAACTCTTAGCGTACACTGTATAATTCTGTTTATTGTACTTCTCTTCAATATCGAAAAATTTTTCGTCCGTAAAGAGGATATCACGGTGTCGGTTTTTCGCGTACCGCTTAAACAACACCCGCGATCTCTTAAGCCTTATTGCTTTTAGACGAGCATTAAGTAAGTGCCCACTCTTTTTTTGTATGCTCGTAGACCAAGATCTTCATTAAAAACCTTTTTTACTGTTTTCCTACTGACACCCATCTGCAAATCCATCAACTTCTGTTTTCGGACAGGATTTCTTACTATCCGCGCCTTGATAGCTTTGATTACTGCTGGTGTTCTTGCGGAGCGTGGCCAGCCAGTTCTTTTCTTGTCCTCAACACTGGAGACTTCAAGGTACCTATCAATAGTACCGTACACAAACCTAAGCGTTATATTCAAATTTTTGAGCAACTTGAAAATGGTACTCGGCGAGTGTCCACAGCGCGGCGGTGCAACGCAATAACAACTATTCGGTTTACTTTCAATGTCCACACCATCGTGAAAAATTACGGAAAGTTATTGTTTTTTGTTTTAAAACAATAATCAAACATTCCAAAATAGAATGCAATAATTTTTTTATAAAATCCTGCTCGAAATGTAGAAATAATGTGCTAGTGACAGAACTTTGGGACCAACTACGTATTATGTTGTAATTAGTATCAGTTGTTGAATTTCTTATTTATACAATATGAAAGTTAAGTCAAGGCCGTCAACTTTAATACCTGTGTAAGGACAGTAGCATGGTCACCAACACCTGGCAGAGGCAATTCAGGGCCAACATTAAGTTCCATATATACAAGTTTATGGGAAAATGTACTAAACTCATTACTGAAACACACCTTATATACACCTGAAAACATTTCAAATTCAGTATTTAATAGAAGAGAATTAAAATTAACAACATAATTATTTTTTTAATTCACTTATAGGCCACCAACATTGCTATCAGAAATCACCAATAATTCCTCAACCTATATCCTTAAGTTTGTAAAAGCTGCTCATTTCAGATTTTACTCTCTAGTCAATGACATGTTAATGAAAATTACTTTTTTGTATTCACATTAATGTGTTCTTTATGTTAATATATTTCTTTTTTGTATTAGATCACATAATCACATTAATTTTGTACAGTTTTGCTGTACTAACAACTGTAACCAACCTGTATATTGGGCTGTAAATTGGTGAGAATCATATTGCATCTTTTGTTGTTGATAAATTATTTGCTTATTAGGACCTTCTATTTTGACATCAACATCATATTGGCCACCAGTTATAACCTTGAAAGATAAAAACAGTATAATACAATCGGTTATCGTGATGTTTGTGAATATGATTTAACGCCACATTAAGAATATTAAACAATTACAATAGGCATTGAAGTAAGGCATACTACAAGGGAAATGGTTAACAGATTTCCAAATATTTACCTGGTATTCCAAGGAAGCTGAGATATCCTTTTCTATGTCTTGGTAAAAACATTCTTCAGCGCTATCTGGTAATTCGAAAGTAAGTTCAACACTCTTTGAAAATACACTATCAGTTAGTAGTAGTAAAAGGACATATATCAAAGGCGTAGCAAACATTTTCTCTTTAATAGTATAAAACTTCTACGGCACATGAAAATACAAAATAATGATTATAGCCCTACGATTATAATCAGGAATTAGTATAACTAGCGCCGAGCAGCACACTCAGGCACGGTAGAAAGAGTGGGAGATACTAGTTCCTCTCCCTTCCCCTCGATCTTACGCTTTTTCGGTCAGCATCACGTGACCCTGACGCAAGTTTGAAAGTTTTTACCCATACAAAAAGTGCTCAGCGCCGCTAAAGAAGTTTTCACTTCAAAAATTTGAATCAAAATTATGCCACGCCCTCTAATGTTTAGCTCCTTAACTAAAACTACAATAATATATGTAGTATAATAATATAAAAGATGATTATTAGAGTATATGAGTATATGATTTATTTATACACCTTATTTTGCATTTGCATCCAATAATCACTTTCAATCTAGATTTTATTATATTTATTTAAATCTATAAATAAGATAAACGTTTACCATTTATTATTTTAATAGAAGATGAAATACTTTTGATACTTTATATTGTATCTGTAAAAAATATAGGAATTCCACTACACAGCTTTAGTTGTACCTCAGTTCAACAGGGTTCTATATAGGACAGGACTGGTTTGCGTTAGATCGATTTAAGACTTTGACTGGCTGATATCGGCGTTACGCTATGAGTTGCTTTATGATTTTAATTTTACCATGATAACATATGTAACGATTAACATAAATTACACATAACATTACTTTTACATATAATTACAAATCAGTTGGAAGCTTGTTGAGTAAGAATACCTCAAAAATTCTTACTGTCGAATTGCCATAGCGAAATTACAGTAAATCGATAAATCAATATATTTATGTTAGTACATTTGTATTGAGATAATATACAAACTCAGAATTGGTCATGATGAAGTAAATTTTTTTTTACTAAAAAGAAAAATGATACTGAACTTTTCGGAATCGAATTTTAATTAAGTAAAAAAATATTTCAAACACCTATTTCCCTGAAAAGAGGCAAAAAGGCCTCCATTTCAGCATCGACTCAAGAGCTTCCACTTTATGATCAGGTAATCTTTTTTTCACAGATCGCATAGTAGCAGGCGTGGGTAGGTTTCTAGGAAATTGGATAACTTGGCAAATTGACCGGATACTTCTCCGATTTTCAATAATTGCTCCAAGAATGTTTAGTGTTTACTTGCCTATAATTTTCATCACTATGACTTGTCTTGTAATATACACTAAAATAACATTATGTAAACTTCAAAGCCGTCACTTGTCTATTTGGTACTCTGTCGTAACTCAAAACCTTTGAATATGCAGCAAAATCTTTAATATCTTCTTTAATTAGTTGAATAATCCTGTATAGAGTACTTAATGAAGTAATTTATTATATATAATTTCAAAGATACAACATAAAACCTTATTATTGTATATTGCTTGATGAAATGGTTTTCAATTCTTCAAGGCTTCTTCTGTTAATAATTTTATTTCACTTGTAGGTCTATTAACATTTTTATCAGAAACTGTTTGCTTCATTATTCCTTAAATAATTTCTATGGGATTCAATGTGCTATGATAAGGTTGGAGTTTTAAAACTTCATGGCCGTGCAATTTTATTACTTCATCTATCTCAGACATGGGAACCTTAAGTTGGCGGGGGGAAATTAATTTTTTGCACTTTTTTTTGGCTCTATCAACTGTTCGTTAACTGTTCTTCATTGTTCTATCAAAATTTTTTTAGTTCGTTCTTATTTTTATTTTTTTTTTAATTTTAAAAAAATTGACCCTCAATTTGGCACGAACTATAGATATTTTGATTTTTTTTTTTTCTTTTTCTAATAGTTTAGAACTATTCATAACAAAGTTAAAATGTGGCGTCTGTCTAGCGGTATTAAAGTTGACGTATATTTAAATAATTTTCTGATTATTTATATACTAAATGTCTGGATATGGTGTGTAGTGTAGTGATTGTAATGTGGTTATACAAGGCCTGAGACTAGGTTTGTGATATAATTAGAATTGACAATGTCGAATGAAATGGCGGTTGGTGATAAGGTGTCAAAGGATGCTACTGTTTGTAGTGATGATGTTGTAGAAGAGGCTACACATACTGAACAGGTTTCACAACCCTCCTCAGATGCTTTGATGGAGGGATCTAATCAAGAAGCCAAGCCTGGTTTGGCCAAAACATAACCTAACATATCTGTTGACATCTTGATCATTATTTAGTAATAGCAAAAATTTATCCTAACATTGTATAAATATAATGTTAATATTCATCAGCTATCATGGTATTAGTTATATGGTTTGTATGTTTGCTAATGAAACAGTTATTTTAAATAACTCTTATTGTGCTAGATTTAAGGGATTTTATATAACTAGCAGATTTTTATTTAAAATTATAGTAAAATAGTAATTTATTGAGAGAATTTTGAATTGCTTATTGTTTCATAAGCTATGTATCCCCAACTGAATATTTATAACAAATTACAGGATACACAAAGTCAACTCACTGTACTTCGTGAGCTTTATTTGAGCTTTGATTTGAGATTTCCGCTATTAAATTAAATGAATATTGTTCCTTTAATTGCACATATTTTTCAGTGAATTATGGCATAAAGAAACAACTTTAATCTTCACTAAAAGAGGATTTGGCCAAGGCCGATCAAGCTCTGTGGTCTAGAGAGGTAAGTACTATGGTTCATTAAATGTATTAGTGTATTAAATATGTGTTTTATAGATTTCAATTAAAAACACTTGGTTTTTTCATAGTCTACAAATATTTGAAAGAGGAAAGATTTGTATATGATAAATTTACAAAATTACTGGACCTATTTCAAATTTTATTTCATCATTAGAATGTTTTAGTTATAGTTACATGTTCTTTTTTTGTTTTTTTTTGTATGTATGATTTTGTACATTATGGTAACGAAGTGTAAATAAATAAATGTTATCTCAATATATTTATTACTAAAATATAAATTTAAAAAAATGTTGAACGTGTGGGTCATCCAAGTCAGGAGTACAATACAGTATAAGTTATAAGTTAGAAGTTAGTTGAAAGAGAGGAGCAGTCTCGATGGAGATTTTGCTCTGAACGCCTAACAGCTCTCAACACATCTGCTCATAGTCTAGCTGACCGATTGCAAGATAAAGACTTATAAAAAAAAATAACTTTTCAGATGGCGTCGGTCCCAATCGGTGCCTAGTTCTGGAGAGCTTAGTCGTCAGTTCGACTCCATAAGCTTCGAGTCCAGCAGTTCCTGTTACTCATCATGCAGCTGCAGTTACTGCCGGCTGAGGGACTGTGTGCATGATTGTGTCAGGTAGATTTCACCATAATATGTCTTTATATTTATCTATAGCTGATATACACGTCGTTTTCTAGGACTAATGATTCTAGAAGAACGCAAACTTCTAAGCTAAGTTTCATGTAACATATTGTTTAGCCTGTTTAAAACTTTATTTAGGTAATAACTTTGATTCTCGGTAAAGATTGTTTGTTAAAAGTAAATATAGACATTACTAACATACAAACTTTTTTGTGTATTTGTGAAGGTTATGTGTAGTACAGTTTTATTAATTAAGTATATCGCGTGAATATTTTACAGAACAGGGGGCAAACGGACAGCAGTCTCTCTTTTTGGCAGAATGCTTAATTCTCATCTGACATCCTCTCCATCTCGACACCTGGCGTTCCACAATACAGCGCTTTTTAAGGCACTACCACTCTGTGGAACCAGCTGCCAGTAGATATGTATTTCAAACCGATACGACTTAGGGGCCTCAAGAAAAGAGCGTTCCATTCCCATTCATACTATAAGTGCAACAATAATTCGTGGCTTGAGAGTAAAGTTTTGCTTATTCAAAAAATAAAGATGCCCTCTATTGGAAATCAGATGAACTTTGATCGAATACCTTAGCTATGGCTAAACGAAAGCATTCGTTTCTTTAGGTAAGTTTGCAAGTTGCCACTAGATGGCGCTGTGCTACGATTGTTAAGGATATTTAATCATATTAAATAAGTTTGATATTTAGAAATTGTCATTTTAACAGTCTCACGTGTATCAGAATAAAATTGCTATTTAATTGTTACTCGACTTTTATACATATTCCAGGCTACATTCCAACGAAAACATACAACTATAATTGTTGGTTGCAAATATAGTTTGTTTGGTACTCTTTAATCTTTACAATTGTTAGTAAAACACAATAATGAAAGGGTTACGGTAGATGTCGTTATCCTCAGTTTAGTTGTTTCCGTGTATTTGTTCAAATGGTGCTAGTTCTGCCGTTGTATTATCTTCTAAATTTATGAAAATTACAACAGGTGTCGCTATATTAAATATTGCGTCATCTATTGTAACTGTCAAAAACTAGCATAAACTTGAGTGAATTGTACTCTTGTTGATGGGCATATTTATATATTTCTATTTACTGATGAGGTAATTAATTTATATAATATATTTAGTATATTTGACTTCCAATCAAAAAGTTTAAAAATTTTAATATAAATAATTAAAATTATATTTTTTATATCAACTATTTTTTTTTTAATTTCAGTAATAAATCAGTTTTGACATAACTTGAATACTAGAAAAGCCAGACAAAGGTGTGCACAACAGTGACAACATAACTTAACAATTTCATTATTTTGTAGGATTAAAGAAAGGTTAAAGAAAATCATGTCGAACTGAACAACAATCCCCAAACAACTCCAAAGAAACCTACAAGGAAGACACCGGTATTATATTTAAATTATCTCTATCTCTAAATAGAATAAAAGAAAGTTGCTATCCAGGTCTGTAGCCTGTGCTACAAATTATATTATTAACACATTTATATAATTATATTAATATAAATGTGTTAAAAATTGTATAATATGAATTATAAAAAATTTTAAGTTTTGCATGGACAGAGCTTAAATTAATATTCTCTTATTTGTTGCAGAAAGCAAGTAGTAGTTTTAGTTTTGGAGAAGCCTCGTAGATGCACAACCAAGTAATGATTAATTTAAAATTACAAACTGAAATTCTGATGAAGACATTAGAGTCACTTAAAAATAAATAGTATGATGAAATAAAAATGTTTTAAAGATAAATAGTGTTTTATTTGTTTAATGTAAGAGAATAATAATAAATATTTATTTATTTAATTTTTCAAATGTAAACTGAACTTTATTGACTTTAATGACTCCTTTTCCAGTCTTTGATTATTTAATTGTAATTAATTATTTGCATGCAATCAAAAACTATTTTTAATAATGCCAAATAAGTATAACTTCTTACGCGCGTACATAAGTACACGCACCCTTTTTTTTCATTATATATAAACAAAAATACGTTGATTCATAAATTATAAAAGTTAAACGAAAATCTATTTCAAAGTGTGAGGGAAGCAGCTATGGACCTAGCTCGTTAATCAGAATACTCAATCTGGATATCACTGAGTTTTGGCCAAAACGCATTCTTATGGAAGAAGGGTCAAATGGGATATGCCTGGGGTGTCTAGAGGGTACACGAAATTAGATTAAAAGGTTGGGGCAATCAACCTTTTTCATAAATATCTTAAATGCAAACGATATATCAATTAATTTTCTAAGATTCTCCAATGGCAACATCTTAAAGTTTTTCGTATGTTAGCAACTCTTTTTTCGACATGCCACTGGCGAAAAGTAGAATACACACGAAAACATACTAACTACGGACAGCATCATAAGTCTATAAGACTGCTAAAAGGTACCAATGGAAGGTTGATGGTGAGTTGGCTGGTTATGTAAAGCAAGCAGGAAAGCTGGTGGAATTAATGGTTCGAAATGCAGGCCACATGGTGCCTGGAGATCAACCAAAATGGGCTCTTGATATGATCACTCATCTCACTCATGAAAAGATGTTTACTAAGAATACTCTGTAAATAATAGTTATTTTTCATTCTTGTCAAAGAAGATTATTGTTTTAAAAATAAATGGTTTATGTAGAAGTATTTGTAATTAGTTAACTGCCTTTGTTTTAAAATTTTGATAAAAAAACCTAAGAACAAAACATTTTTTACTAATCCTTAAAATTAAGATTTCATTTTCCCAAGCACCACCTTAGCTTAAATCAGTCTAAGCTATGCTTTAATAATATTATTTATATTTTTTCCAGTGGTAGTGTTAAACTCAGACTATTGTGTTAGAAAGTAATTTTCAATTAATTTAACAACATGACTAAAAGAAAACAGAAGCAAAATACCAAATGTCAATTTATTTATTGTTGATCATCAAACGTTTTATAACTAGTCTTAGAATTACTTAAATTAATGCTGGATGTTGTTATTTATCGTCCCTCTATGTAAGTTGACAGTTCTATCTCCTCTGGTAATTCGGTGATATTAACATCAAAACGATCTTGAACTACATTAAGGATCTTTGCATCATTTTCATCAGAAACCATAGTTATTGCCAAGCCTTTTGTACCAAATCGACCAGCCCTTGCGACTCTGTGTTGGTAAGTATCAGAATCACTAATATCCTTTTCTGGAAGTCTTTCAATTGCTGGTAGCGAGAGAGACGTTCATCTTGAGACATGTTTCTGTGAATTCCAATAGCTGGGAAATTTTGGTCAGTTAGCAACTGCGCTAATGCAATACATCTTTGTACAGATTTAACAAAAATTACTACTTGATTAAACTCTAAAACATCAAGTAATTCAAAAAGTTTCTTGTTCTTCTCATTCTCCTTAAGTTTGACATAATGTTGCTGAAGCCCATGCAGTGTGAGTTTAGCCTTATCATCAACATACACTTCCATAGGATCCTGCATGAATTTCTTGCACACAGGGCGAATCTCTTTACTTAGAGTAGCTGAAAACATCATAACTTGCTTTCCATGAGGAGTATTTCTAAATATCTCCTGAACATCTCGTCGCATGTCAAGAGACTCCAACATCTTATCACATTCATCAAGAATGAAATGTTTCAAATGCTTTAAATTCAGCTTCTTGCTATTGACTAAAGCAAGGATTCGTCCAGGAGTTCCCACAACTATATGAGGGCAAGCAGTTTTAAGCACTTCTTTATCTTTTTGAATTGGCATACCACCAAAAAATACTGACACTTTAACTCCAGCCATGTATTTTGAGAAACGTTCATACTCTTTGCTGATCTGGAATGCCAGCTCCCTGGTGTGACACATAACGAGAACATAAACATGATTCTCTGATGGTTCGAGTTGTTGCAGCGTTGCCAATACAAACACAGCCGTTTTGCCCATACCGGATTTCGCTTGGCACAAGATGTCCATACCAAGAACGGCCTGGGGAATACACTCATGTTGCACTTCAGACGGATGTTCAAATCCGCAATCTACTATAGCTCGTAAAATTTCCGGTTTGAGCAGGAAATCTCTGAAGCCAGAGCTGTAAATAGATACATAGGACCCTTTAACCCCTTTTTTTGGCGTCGCTTCGGTTGCTCCGTCGGCTGTTTGCTGATCTGCCTGCTCTTCGTCTTCGTAGTCGAGAAGATCGTCGTTATCTGCCATATCTTAGGGTTGGAATATAATACCAACACGAAATAAACAATACAATTTCGTATTAACACGTGAAATGAGAAAACAATTCTATTTCACAATAATGGCGTCGGTTATGGCCGATTTACACGTATTAAGTTGACTAAAAATTTACTAAATATTAACTTAATTTTAAGTAACTTAACCCGTGTAAACAGTTATGGCCGATTTACACGTATTAAGTTGACTAAAAATTAACTAAATATTAACTTAATTTTAAGTAACTTAACCCGTGTAAACAGTTAATTTAGTAAGAAGTTGCAAGTTAAAATTTAGTTGCAACTAAACAAGGTAGAATAGAATTTTGTCTATTTTTCGGTTAAGTTGGTGGGCGTGGCTAATCACTTGACACGTTTGGACAGGCAAAATTTAGTTAAATTTAAGTAAAAAGCATAAGCTGGCGGAGTCATTGCAAAGCTATGCTTTTGCTTTCGGCGCTGGAAGCTCAAAAACATATCCAAAACTATTTGTCCGATATGCGTATACAACAATTAATGAACAGTAGTAGAACCCCTTCCCCAATGAATAATAGTAGCCGTTTTACTCCTTCGCCTTCTTCAAATACGTATTACGTTGAGTCCCCAGAACCTTCACAATCATGTATTGGAGCATACAATACAGTAAATCCCCAATCAGGAAGAGAAAATCCTATAATATTTTGTTCTGTGGTCGTCCATCTTGAGCGAATAAATGTGTTTAACTAATTATTTAGTATTTTTACGTGTAAACGGTTACTTAAAAATTAAGTCACTTGAAATTTAGTTAAAATTTAGTTAAGAATTGGCAACTTAATACGTGTAAATCAGCCTTTAAATTAAGAACGCAAGCCGCAAGGCTTTAGGCTATGCTTGGAAGTTGGAACCATAGACTCCAAACAACCGTTGACATAAACTATAAAACGTACAGATGAAATATACGACATTCTATTGTCATTATACACTGCGAAAAGGATAAATCATTGTTTTTGATTGATTGATAAAATTTATAGCCCTCTTTTAAAGGCTTGTTTTCTGAAAATAGTTTGACTCTTTTTTCAACAGTACAATTTCATTTGACAAAAGATAAACATTTAAGTTTATGCTTCCAAATAATAAAAAACTTCTTTAAAGTTTAGGTTCGTATCAGAACCGCCATTTTATGTAACGAGATTTGTGAAAAATCGAGATATATTTAGGTATTTTTAGACCTCTCTTTAAAATATGATGTCATAGGGAAAACATGTTCTATTCTAAAATACGCGAACTTCTCTATTTCTAACTTTTTTTATTAATTTCTTGATGAATAACAAAAACCTTACATTGATTTATTAATATTGTAATATACTATAAACATCATGAATCTTCTTCATTCTTTTCATAACATATGAGAAAATCTTATACAAAGATCGTATTAGACTAGACCAGGGGTTAGCAACATTTTTAATCAACGGGCCAATTTAAAAAAAAATTGGCGGGCCGCACATAAAATATCAATTAATTATAATTTACAAAACTTTACTTTTTAAATTATAATTAATTCGTTGATGTCTATGTTAACGTAAAATTGTAAAAACCGTTAGATTGTAATCTATCTCGCGAGATTATAAACTGTCGAAAGATTGTGAACTTAGCGTACTGCGTACAATTTAACGTATTATTATTCGGTAGATTGTAATCTATCGAAGTGAAACCGTCAAATTGTGAACGGCCATTTTCTACTTTTCTATTGGTTATAAGAGATGTGACATTCTTGTTTTCTATTGGTTATAAGTGATGTGATATTTTCGGTCAATTAATCCAATCGATTATTTTCCTCATTTGTTAATTTTAAAGTTAAACCTAATTTAACCATTACTTGTCAAATGTACATACATTACATTAACTTCATGTTTCAATTAGTGTAGGGTTCCGAAAATTTTGAAATTATTCAAAAACGAGAATGTCACATCTCTTATAACCAATAGAAAAGTAGAATGTGGCCGTTTCACAATTTGACGGTTTCACTTCGATAGATTACAATCTACCGAATAATAATACGTTAAATTGTAAGCAGTTCGTTGAGGTTCACAATCTTTCGACAGTTTACAATCTCGCGAGATAAATTACAATCTAACGGTGTTTACAATTTTACGATGACATCTATATATTATTGTGCGTATTGAGAAGTAGGTATTTATACCTTCATCCATACTAATATTTATTTTTTTAGCAGTTTGAAATAACTTTAATTATTTTCAAAATCTACGACGAAACGAAAGCCTTACAAATTTTTCAACAATAAATAATATTTACTAACGAAAATTTCGATAAATGCCAACTTAAAGAAAAATACTGGTCAATTTTCTGTCACTGTGTTGGTATTGTTTGCGAGAGCATTCGTTTTGAGAGTGCTCAATTGTGCGAAGCGTTGCTGTAGTTGGAACACTCAACGTTGAGCATTATGCCGCAAAATGCGCTCTAGTGCTGTAATCGGAAAACGCACATTATGTATTATATAAATATAATTTCTCTATCCTCAATTTTTTTATATATCCACAGGTTTATAGAATACCAACAAATAGAGTCTATCCGGAAAGAGAACCATAGCGGTTATGCGAACCAATATAATATATAATTCTTATTTGCTATGCGTCATTACATTTATTTACAAAAATTATAGACTTTGAATTTTTTATCATATTAACTATTAATTGATTACGGTCTAAGTATAATGCGTAGATAATAATTTTACTAAAACATAACGTAAAAAAAAAACAATGGTAACTTACCACTGCTGCGACATCAAATCCCACGCAGGTTTTCTTTCCGCACAAACTCTATATATAATTATAATTTCTTTAACAGGTATGAAAATAGTCCAGATAAATCTCAGTTATAGTAATAAAGAATTTATTTAAACTTAAGAGACAGTGGCGGGCCTGTAACCAATATTGACACAGACGCCAAGCCTACTGCGGTTGGTATTGTGAGCTTTTAGTCCGGTCAATTTTGAAACAACATTTGAAATAACAAAAATTCCCGGAAAGCTAAATTTTGGTGGAGAGCTGGGGTTTACCATTACAATTAAAGTTTTAAAAATCCCATCGATTATATGTGTGCTACAAAAGTTATTCGGGGTCAAAGATCAAATATGATTTTTTCTCGAAAACGGTATTATCAAAAAAAAAAAGTTCCAAGCTAAAGTTGTAGATCCTTAAATTCTATACAAAAATGGTCTTTACAATTTTTTCCTAAGAGTTACTATTTCTGAAATATCGTGATGACTATCGTGCTCATATAAGCCACGTATATACATAATCAGGCACTTAGACAAGTATAAATACCTATTTGTGTCTCTTTTATAGATATTACGCCCCCTGTTCAACTCTAAGATGCCGATCCAGCGG